GTGCAGAGTGTGGAGATGCTGCCTGTGAGGTCCACTTGGGCTGGAAGCAGGAGGGAATTCCAACCCTCTGCTCCTGGCCCAGCACCTTCCCAGGACCAGCAGGGATGGCTGGGAGGGCACCACATTTAAACAGCATTTTATTCCTGCTGAAGTTCATTTTTAGCCATTGCTGCTCCTTTTTTCTACCCCGTGTTCTGCTGTTGAGAAAGGGAGGAGCTTCAGGGATTTTTCAGGGATGATTTCTTCGTGGAGAGGGTTGTTAAACATTGGAATGAGCTTCCCAGGTCGGTCTTGCATTTGTCCCAGCTCTCACCTATGCAAAACCAGCTTTAGGAAGTTATTTGCAAGGTGATTTCACCGGGATGGAGAAATCTCCCTCTTGGGCAGGTGTTCCAACCTCCACCCTTTGTTTCTCTCACCCCACATGTTGTGTTTTGCAAGCAAATAAACGCCTTTGATTTCTTCAGAGCTGCAAAGAGAACTAAAACATCTCTTTGGTTCCCTTCCCAGCAAAAGGTGTGAGCAGAGAAGAGTGTTTGACCACCAGACATTTCCCCTGAACTCGATCAGCTGAAGGACTAAAGGTCTGAAGAACCTTTTCCCACCTCCCATCCCGGCTGGAAGGACTCCCAGGGCACCTGGGAGGAGCTTCTCGTTGTGGACACTACTTTCCTCGGCATTTTTTTTGGGATAGACAAGAGGTAACTGAGGCTGGAGAAAGGCACTTTTGCCGTGCTCAGTTGTTTTGGGTTGGGAAAACCCCGAAGCCAAACGTCCCTCCTGGCCCCTTGTTAAAGCAGCAAAGCAGAGGTGCTGGTGCAGTTTGGTTTGCTCAGCGGGAGAGTGAAGATCTCCAGTGTTTCAAGAGGTGGAAACTCGGAATTTCTCGCTGAAATCAGGGCTGGATTTAGTGCAGGATTGGCTGAGCCAAACTGCACAGCACCAGCTCCCCTTCCTAAACCCCAGTGCCTTAAACTTCTTAAATAACAAATCTCCTCCTTAAATCTTTGGTGGGAAATGTCCCGCTGGAGATCCTGTCCTGGATGCAGATATTAATTAACTGGTCCACCTGAAGGCAGAGTGTTCTGGTTGAAAGGTGTGAAAGGGTGGTGGTTCCAGTAGGACCATTCCCAAAGCTCTTCCTCCCTGGGGATTCCCAGGAGAAGCTACAAAATGAACCATTTTGTAGCATATTCCCCGTTTCCCTTCAGTTTTTCCCTGGTTTTAAGCACAGTTTCTCTGCCACTGTGTGGTTGTATAACTGCTGAATTTGGTCCATCATCTGTGGAGGAGCTTTTTTTTTTTTTTTAACCGTGACAATAA